TGAATACATGGAATGTAATTTTATTAGTAGTAGCTCTAGTCACAAAGTTGTAACTATGGGTGATCAAATCGTAAAAAAGTGTGATCGTTTTAAATATCTCAGGTCTATGTTCAAATTGATGGTGATATAGATGGGAATGTTATTAGTAGAATTCAATTTGGTTGGTTGAAGTGAAGGAAAGCATCGTGCCTATTGTATGATAGAAAAGTACCACTAATACTAAAAGGAAAATTTTATAAGATGGTGGTGAAACTGTAATACTCTATGGCACAGAATGTTGGTCTTTAAAAGAGAGGCAACTAAGTGTTGCTGAGATGAGAAAGCTTAGGTGGATTAGTGGCTTGACACTTAGAGACAAAATGTGAAATGAATATATCGGTGATAAGATTGGTGTAGCTCCAGTGGTGAACAAGATTAAAGAGAGTCATTTCAGATGATTCGATCACATTAAACTTTAACCATTTGATGATCTTGTTAGAATAGTAGATGTTTTAAATTCAACTTATATTAAGAAAGACAAGGGTATACCTAAAAAGACTCGGACATATTGTATAAAAAATGATCTTAATTTATTAGAATTAAATGAAAATGTGATGTTCAATAGGACACAACAGAGAAACATGATTCACGTGGCCGACACTCCAATGGGATAAAGGCTTGTTGTTGTTGTTGTTGTTGTTGGACTCTCTTTCATGAGCTCGGCTAGAACAAATCACTAGTGTCTTTTCCTTGTCGGTTGGAAGTTGAGACTCCTTTCTGATGTTATTATTATCTCCTGTGTAATAATCAAAATTTTCAATTGCTCCCTGCTCCGTGAAAGAGAACATTCTCTTGGCATTTAAATCACTTTATAGCTATGATAGGTCTAGGAGTGTTGGTTGTCTCCATCTAATCTCCACTCTGAATTAATTTTCCTCAAACGGGATCTATTTCGATGCTTCGCTAGGTGCAATACTGTTTGATCTTGGGGTTAAATTCAATCTGTAAGGTGTGGCAGTCACCTGATGAAATTGTTGTATCTTCACCTTCAAAGCTAGGGTTTGTACCTTGAGTAGTAACCAATGCAGTTGCAGTTGCACCATATTCCTAACAGACGACCTCAATTTTCCAAGGTAAATTGCTATTGTGTGCTCCTTTGGAACCACCAACTCACATTTCAACCTAAGTTAATCAAATTCAACTGTGTACTTCTCCACAAAAGAATCTCTCTGGTTTAGGTGGTGAAATTTTATTAACATGTCATGTTGGCAATGCGGGAAAAGATATTTCCGTTTCATCTCCCATTTCATCAATCATGGGGTGATCTTATTTTTTTTTTTCTCACTATCGAAGATGTTTCAGGTTTTCCTACAACAAAGATGCACATTTCTTTAACTGAATGAAGGCTAGTTTTACTCTTATGTCCATTGAAATGTCATTATACTCAAAGAAATGTTCTGCTGATTGGCAGCACTTGATGAATTTGTTCAGATTCATGTGACCGTCAAAATCTGGCAAGTCAAGCATCACTCTAAAATCTTGATTTTTTCTCTGATATTTCATGTCAAATCGTCAAGGTATTAGTTCTTAATCACTGAAAGCTGCCTAGCGAAAGAGATTCATTTCATACTCTCAATCTAGAGGATCACCATTAGGACTATAGATGATCTCACCGTATTTTTCTCTTCCGACAAGGGGCAAATATCTATTGCAGTTGGCGAATTTCTCATTATATGTCTTCCATAGTGAACTCCTTGACACCCCGTTGATGGTTTCTCATTTGCAATTTGATATTTTCCACCCGATCAAATTTTTGAAAGATATATGATTGCAAAATAAGGTTGGTTAAGCGCTTAAATTTTGGTGGTAGGAGTCGGGGTGAAATTTTTGTGGAGGAGAAAAGTTGGATTTTGAAACGTTTAGGTTTATGGCTATAATTTATGATAGTAATGACTAGGATATTGAGTTGATCAATGATTTTAGTTATATAGAATTTGGGTTGGCGTAGGAATGACAAATCTCAAAAAAATTAAGATTTGTCAGGCTCTAATACTAGAAGACATTTTAGAGCTTCTAAAAGATATTTTGAGAGTGAATAGAGAGAGAGATAGTTGTGAAATAACGAGAGAACAAAAACATGTGAGATTGACGGTGTTTAGAATGGGATAGGTGTCCTTCGATGGCCATTTCAATTGAAATTGCCAGAATAACCATGATGATATGATGACGTACGGGTAGTGATGAGGTTTACCACCCGCCGTTGAGCAATATAGAGACAACACTTGCGAAAGAAAGATGATACAACACTCTTAAAGAAGAAAATCAAAGATACAATCTCCATAATATTCAAGCAAAGCAAAAGTCTCTTCAAAATAGAAAACAAAATATACAAATATTCCTACGACATAAAATACTTAATTAGAAATAAGAAAATACGAAAGAAATCAGAAAAGGTAAAAAATGTGATGAAATTAGAAATCGAATGTTTTCCCTGTTAGGTCACCACATTCACAAGATTTTTTGCAATTATGAGGAATCACATGTTCAAGAGATTGTTTCTGATTTGGAACAGAAAATCCTGCGACCCAACGGGAAAGTTCCCTCATAAATGTCCCTCTAATATAATATCCTTTTTTTATTTTGTTAGGCAGCAATCTTAAAATTCAATTTTTATGACAAGCTCAACTTGGCTATCAATGAATTCTTAATCACACAAAACTTGAATACTTAAGAATATAATTTGACTAATTAAAATTTCAATGAATTTCTAATTTTAAGTCTTTGTAATATTCTCTAATGGCATGGTAATTTCAAAGCACTTCTTCATTTTAGTAACCAAACTTAATTCAATAAATTATGACTTATTTCCCCAAGTTTTGATATAATAGATCCAAGATTCATAATTCATCAGAACTTAATTCAATTTATCTTATAGTAATATTAGTTGATAATTATAAATACCACACACAAGAAAGTTGCACAGTTCATTCAGTTTTTGCTCAATAACTATTAAGTTGTTTATCCTTTAAACATTTCCATTATCAATCTAATTTTTCTCTTATGTCACTAAATACCCCACTGATTAAGCTATACCATCTATAAAAGAATATAAATTACAGTACCTGATTTTACAAATCCTTTGTAAGCATTTTCATAATCAATTAAAGAATGAAAATAAAAACTTATTTGTTGAACATTAAAATTTGTTTGTCATTCCACAACAACTTTTAATACTAGATGCCGCATGATACATATCTCTAACAGTATAAACATGTGTTTCAAACATTTCTTATTTATTGGATACCAAATCAATTCTCATAGCATTCAATCATGTCTTTTTAAGCTCACAAAAATCACTCCATGTGATTTATTATTTTTCAAAGTTGCCTCGGTACAAAAATTATCTCCAAAGTGAATCGTTCTAACATAAAATTTAAGGGGTGTTAAACTCGTGCACAGTGCCCCAACTAATGCAAGGTTTAAAGGGGTTTAATGTATACAATCATAACCCTGCATTTTTCAAGATACTATTTCCATGACTAAAATCAGAGACTTTCATAATGAATAGCCACCCATCTTCCAAGCATAAGACCAAGTTACCCAAACATTTTCTATTATCCTAGACAGTACTAAAAAAAAAAAGAAAAAAAAAACTTAGTTGAAATCAAATATCAAATGGTTTCCCTATTCGGTCACCGCGATAGCGAGATTTTCCGCAGTTATAAGCAATCCGTGTTAGGGGGACCGATTCGGCATATTACACAGAATCCTGCATTCCAAGGGAAAGCCCCTGCATCAATGTCTCTCTAATAATATTCTTCCTAATGTTGTCAAGTAGCAATCTTAACAATCATATTTTTGTCATGCTCAACTTGGCTATCAATAATTCTTAATCAGACAACTTGAATCCTTAAAAATATAATTGGACTAATTAAAATTTCAACAAATTTCTCTTTTTAAGTCTTTGGAATATTCTATAATGGCATGGTAATTTCAAAGCACTTCTTCATTTTAGCCACCAAACTTAATTCAATAAATTATTATCACTTATTTCCCTAAGTTTTGGTATAATAGATCCAAGATTCATAGTTCAACACAACTTGATTCAATTTATCTTATAGTAATATTAGTTGATAATTATGAATACCACGCACAAGCAAGTTGCACGGCTCATTCAATTTTTGCTCAATCACTCATAAGTCGTTTATCCTTTAAGCATTTCTATTATCAATCTATTTTTCTCCTATATCACCAAATATCTCACTGATTAAGCAACACCATTGATGAAAAATAAAAATTTCAGTATCTAATTTAGAAAATCCTTTATAAAAAATTTCATAATCAATTCAAAAATAAAAAAATAAAAACTTATTTGTTGAACATTAAAAACTGTTTGTCATTCCACAACAACTTTTAATACTAGATGTCATATGATACATATCTCTAATAAATTAAACATATGTTTAACGCATTTCTTATTTATTGCATACCAAATCAATTCTTATAGTATTCAATCATGTATTTTCAAAGTTCACAAAAATCACTCCATGTGATTTCTTATTTTTCTTGGTCGCCTCAGTACGAAAAATTATATTCATAGTGATTCTTGCAGACATAAAATTTAAAGTGTGTTAAAATAGTGCAAGATGCCTGAACTAATGCAAGGTTTAAAAGGGATTAATATATACAGCCTTGACCCTATATTTATCGAGATACTATTTCCACGATGCAAACCAGAGACCTTCAGAATGCACAGTCACACATCTTCCCCAGCATAAGGCCAAGCTACCAAAACAGCATCTATTATCCTGGTCAGTAACAGAAATATATGCAAGGGACAAACCTAACAAGAATGTATATAATTTCGCTTCAGAAATTTAGTTTGCTAGCCTATAGCATCTAATTAGCCTGCATGTCCAGCATATGTATTCCAGATTTGATGAAAAATCTAACACTTGTGTTTATTATTTAATTTCAGAAATGCCAGCCCATCGTCATATCCTACAGTTAGCCTGTATTACCTGCAATTCTATATCTTCCTTGCTGAGAAATTTTCCTCCAAATCCTCTTTGGCGCCTTTCAGCTAAAGCTTGTCGGGAAGGAACCTGTCGAATATAGAAATTAGAATTTGCAGCAGAAGGAAATATATTAAAAAGGTCTGATTGAGGCGGCAACCCACACAGACATAAAACGCGGTAAATGGAACCGCGCCAATATCTGTGTGGCCCCAGTCGGCAGTATGCAGAGATTTTGCACACTGCAGTCACTCTGCCAAAACTATGGCCAGAATGTCAATTTATCCTCAAAATGAAACGACGAACCTTTCAACTTTCAACACTAAAAATTACATGTATAGGAACAAGCCATTACCTTCATCGATCTATCCACAACATGTCTGTTATTCCTCTTTCTCATGTACCTAAGAATTATATCTCTTCTCTCCTCATTTGTGTACTTGGAAACTCTTATACCAAGCTCTCTTAAAAGCCGAGACTGAGCTGGAATCCCGCCCAAGGGTACCTTTTGTCCATCCATACCCACGGTGGCAACATTATTTCCCAAATCAGAAACTGAAGCTGACTGCTTTGTCATACCATCCTTCTCTTCGAAAGTTGCTATTTTAACAAGCTGACTACTCTGACCCTCAATAACCACTTTCTCCGAAGCGTCGTCACCTAGAACTACCTCTGCCGCACTATCCAGATTGCCTTCACTCCTCGTAGTAGCAGTTCTCTTTTTGTATGGTCCTCTCTTCTTTTTCACCGTGCTTTCACTAGTAGGTTTTCCAAAGAAAGTATAATTCGCCTTGGAGCACAGAAACCTCTGCATCACCAGAATTCTATTGCCCCTCGAACGCTGACCAGAACCAGTCCTGGCTTTGAACCCCATCTTCTCACTGTAAGTGTAGTAGAATGCCTTTGCCATCGAGATGGAGTCAAATTCCATGCCTACCGATGGAACCAGCCTGCCGCCTGCAACAGTACCAGCAGGATCAGGTGGTGGGGCAAGCGAGTGAGGATGCTCCAGAACAACCTTAGACACCAACCATAGTCCACTCTCCTTCCTCACCACCTCCATCATCGCCCTACAACGATCGACGCCGCCTGATACCTCCCCTGAGGATCCAACATCGCCGTTTCCCGAGCCTGACCGCGCGTATAAGTAGCCTCGCATGATATAAGCCACCCGAAGAGCATTCTCATTATAAAGTGGCTTCCCTGATGACACGCCAGCATCCTCAAGCGAATTCTCCACTGGTACTGAGCCACCTTCTGACAAGAGCTCCACCACTTCGGCGGCAGCATTCTGCGAGTCGAGAACTATCCCGCCGTCGCGCCTTCCACCTCCCTCCTCCACTGGATCTCTTTGTTCCAGCTGCATAACTCCTCCCTCCTTGGAGATTTCCGAGATGACCACCATTACTGCGTGATTGCAGTAGAACAGAGGTTAGGTTTCCATGAATCGGAATCATGGAGGTTACGTTGTCACTCCCGGAAAAGAAGCGGGAAGAAACCCTACGATTTGATTTGGTTTCAGGAGTAACTGAAAGCTAATAAAATTTGGAAAACTTGGAACCCTAGGGGGAGAGATCTTACCGGGCTCTTTTCCTTTTTGGTGTTCGGGGCAGCGAAGGGGATGGATCTGTGGGAGAGGAAAGCTCGGCACCCTTTTCTCTCTCCAGCGTTGCTGCGTGGCTCGGAGCAGCGGTGTACCGTTCTTAAGGGATTAGATCAGATTGGGCCGGACCGGGCCGGGTCGGCGATCTACGCATAGAAGGGCACGAGTAGGAAGGCGACACGTAAGCTATCAGTGGAGCGCGAAGTCCTCGATTGGGTCGGGCCATAGGGTTGGACCCAATGCACGAATTATGGAAGTAGATTTTAAAAGAAATAATTAATATAAATTAGTTGATTGGAGCAATGCTACAAATTCGTTACGTAGAGGATCTTTTTTCTTAAATGAAATTTCTAATGCTGCTAATATTAAAAAGGCATGGATAGGGGAACAAGCATTTTGTATTGAAATTACTTATTTTGTGATTTGATTTTATTTATTTTGATATATCGTTGATAAATTTTAAAGGTGATCTTCATTAATCTTATAACATTTTTTAACAAAAAATATTCAAATTCAAATCAGTATTAGGAATTTTTATTGTCTCAGAACTCTCCCAGTCAAGTTGTTTGTGGAGACCAATGAGTGGAGTATAAGTGGAATTGGGTTCCACAATATATAAGAATTAAAAAAGAAGTTTGACACGACTCGAATTAGCACGGGAAATTTAATAGGAGCGTTTATCGTGAACCTGACCCGAATTAAATTCCGAAAACACTTATATTTTTCAAATTTCAGGTTATAAAGTCATATAATTCGGTATAACACAAGATTTTGAAATTTTCATCAACAATATTTCGTTATAACACTTATATTTTACGTTATAACGCTTATATTTTGAATTTTTCAGGTTATAAGATCATATGACACGATAAAATTTAAAATAAAGCGTCAATAATTAATTATAATGTATGTATTCTCAATATAAGGAATATATATTGTAGTATAACACGACTATTTTATATTTTGAGATGTGGGATTAATGGGAGGACCGGAGTGCGGAACCATGAAGGGTTGAGGATAACACGACTATTTTATATTTTGAGATGTGGGATTAATGGGAGGACCGGAGTGCAGAACCATGAAGGCTTGAGGTTAATTTTTCTGAGCATTTTATCTGCATGCATCCCACAAAACTTTTATGTATTTACAAATTCACTTCATTGCGTTGCGGGTGATACGTGAAGGCGGAGTGGACCACGGGTGGGACCAGGGAGATGTGAAGTCAAGTGGATCTCATTTAGGGTCTGTTTGGGGCAGCTGCAGCTTATCCAACTTATGTTGATAAGCAGCTTATCCTGATAATCTGCCGATGACCAGCTGATCCGGATAAGCTGACTGACTGTTTGGTTTGTGCGTTTGGAAAACAGCTGATTCTGGATAAATGACCAATCTGCCCCTATTTTGGATAAGTTGTTTAACTGTTTGGTTTGCACGTTTTGTAAACAACTTATTTGCAGATTTTTTTAAGTTAAATGAAAAAACTGGCACACAAAAGTTGTAATGTCTACCCCTCAGCTATTTTAGAACCAATTAGTCCATTTCAGACTCATTCGACACATACATACCACCTAAAAATTGTTATTTAAAAAAATAAATTCTAGCAACAAAAAACATAATATCAGGTAGAAAAATGTTCAAACTGCTACAAAATACCGATAATAAAACAACCCATCCTAAGTGCTTGCCCAACTCATAATGCATATGAATTTATTTTCTCAGTCATATCTATAAATCGTCTCAGTGGCAATCAACAAAAAAAGAAATAAACCACTTCATTTACATCCAACCAAATAGAATGCATAATTATGTTTCCTGTTTAGAAGCAATCAAATGGGGCATGTAGAAGAATTTGTAATAGTTCCCTGCAAAGCAGATAAATACTAGGAGAGCCTCGTCCAAGTTAAAAGAAATAAATACTGCAACCAACTGCACCTTATACAACTCAAACCAATCTGGAGGAAGCTAAATTCCGCATGTTCAGCATCTTATACAACCAACTGCACCTTATAAAATTTTCCATGAATATGATACAGGTAGGAGTCAAATTCAATATGCAATATTAAGAATTTTGAAGCATGCAACACCTTGCATCACAGATAATGCCATATGAACAATGCAAAGGC